TTGACAGTACACATTATGGCCATTTTATGAGGTACACCTGTTAAGTAGCTGGTAAAAAAGGCAGAGACTCTGTAACTTATTACATTTACTCATCCAGATGTGACGGTTTGCTGGAGCACAAGTTAAGCATCAGAATGGGGGGAAATACCTAACCACAGGTACTTTCATGGGTGAAACTGTTTTTTTGATGTTAGACGATAATAACAGAAAGGCAAAGGTAGCGCAAATAAGCACTCTATGCAACCAAGGTATGCAGAATACCATATTTGAAGACGAAACATGTTGAATGTTTGAGGCTACAGCTGCCAAGACCGGAGCTGCCGCCACTTCTGTCAGCTGAAAACAGAAAACTGAGAAGATATTTCTCTCAGGATCACAAAGATTGGACAACATTGAACAATAACTTCTTGGAAAAACATTCCGTCTTCAGTTGAATCTCAATAACAGCTTCAAAAATGCAGATGGTATGATCAGAATCTGAGCTAAGAACAGGAAATAATAGATCTAGCCTCTCTTTAATCAATGGTTCAGTTTGGCTGTGTTAACTTAATGCAGTGGGAGATAATCTCCTCAAAGTTGAGCCCGTTAGTAACCCTAACCCTCCAGCAGGATAGCAACATGCCATAAAGGTGAGATCATTTCTAACTGGTTTCTTCAATATAAAAAAAGTTTGTTACGTCTCAAATTTTTTTTTATATTTTAACCAATTTTGTGATTTTTTGCAATAATCACAATAATGTAGATGATTAATTCAAGGGTTGAATGGTTTTCTTGACCCTGAAAGCATGCTTTGTTGCAGGACTTTACTGTTACTGTTAAAAAAGTAAAAAAAAACCCAACATATTCATGCATGAATCTGCACCCTGTCTTCAACCTTCTCTTCCCTTTATGACCATCTAAAGGACCGGAGTGAGAAAGTAAATGTCTGGCTCTTGCTAAATTTCATGTCACCAAAATTCAGTGTCTCTGCGATTATAAAAACTGTGATAAAATAATTGCCCGGCTCTATTTCACGTTACTGCAATGGCCTCCAATGTCACAAAATCTTAGTCCAGTAGAGCCTCTTTGCAATCTTTAGTTCATGGATGTGCAGCAAACACATCTGCAGCAACAGGGTGAAGTCAAGTCATCTCAATATGAACCAAAATCCCAGAGGAATGTTTCTGACACCAGATGAATTTATTCAACAGTGAAAAAGGCCAGTTCCACAGATATAAAGAGTTAAACCAGCAAGGTGTACCTAATAAGTTGGACGATAACGTATAATTTTAAGGTTTATGAAGGTATGAATAAATGTGAGTAATGCTGAATGGTTAGACAACACAAATACTGCAATTAGGCGTGGGAGATATGAAGATTTTGTATCTTTAAGGCTCAGAATATGCTGTAGATCTGCCAAAGCAGAGAGATGATTTCATTTTTAAAATGAAAATGTAAAACAAGGAGAACTCTTGGATGAAGTGGTTTTTAAGTCTTGGAAAAGATCTGAATGTGGTTTCTTGTATAGTCTGTAGAAGATGAAGTGAACGTTGGTCCCCTACACACCAGCGTGGTCCGCTTCAAGGGAGATAGTGAACTTCAGGATCTACGTAGATCTTTTCGGTCTGAAAGTGTTTAAATCTTTACAATACCTCCTAGTGTCTGTAAACCTAAAAAAGCAGGCCGTAGTCTCTAACTCCTCCCTGTCTTCTTCTGTGCACAGAGCAACAGGCTAAAGGCCAGCTGCCTCATCTGCTGCTCTCAATAGACAGCCTCTTGAACAGCTATGCAGGCTGCAAGATGTTGGTTTGCTCTGTTATCTTTTTTTGTTGTTTTTAAATACAAATTGAACAAGGATAAATAAAGGAACATAGTTTTGGGGGGATTCCTTACTCAATAGAACCAAGTCCCCTGTACTATCCTGGTGAAAGTACTCTTAAATACAGTGTTTATATCTCTGGTAAAATGTCACTATTTGTAAATAAGAAAAAAATTAGACCATGATAAATCTTATTAAAAGCTTTTCCTACTTTGATGTGACAAATATCCTGTCCATTTTAAATAAAAAAAGGGAATCTATGGATGAAGAACAGAAAACAAAAAAATACTGCATTAGTTCCTTTGTAAACACCCTTAAAGTAATGCTGGACAGAACCACCATTTGATGGAGTGTTAGGATTCAGACTCAGGTTCACACCAGTCGTCAAATCAGCAAGTCTGAAGGAAACAAGAATTTACACCAAACAAAACTTCTAGGCCTGTAAATATGTAATGTTTAGTGTGAAGAAACCAAACTGGACCACCGCTTCAAAAGCTACAAAGAGCATAGAGGTGGTAGCATCATGATCCGGGGTTGCTTTTGTTTATATGAAACTGAAGTTTTAGTCAAATTGGTATTATGAAAAATTCTAAATTAGATATGCAAACTTTAGATTCTGCCAGAAAGCTAAGGACGACGACGCATTTAATCTCTCAGCATCATCATTTATCTAAGCATACATCCAAGGTAGCAGCATAACAGCAAAATAATATAGCTAAGGAGAGTTAAAGGAGTTCAGAACTGGGTCAGACAAAGTTGTGCGGGTCAAAATAAAGAGACTCGAGAAGGACAGATGCTGTCACAATCTGAGTGATTGTCCAAATATGAGATGCAGATAAAAGCCTAAATAAACTGTTACATCAAAGCTGTAAGTTTTATCTTAAAGATGTAAACACTGATGGTACAGCAACTCTTTTATGGCTTCCTTTGTTTTGAGTTCAGTTTGGTTATGTCAAATATCAAATTAGATGTGGGAAAACTGCAGAAATGTTTGCATCATGAAAAGATTCTTTTCAATCACAGAAAGCTGATGTTTTATCAGAGCGTGTTTCTTTCTGAGATCTGCTGCATGTTAACTAAATGTCAGTTATGTTTGGTCCCAAATGGCAAAATATTGATCCCTTGGTTTATTACTTTGGCTTAAATGCACCTTGACTTTTTTTTTCCTTTACTGTTTTTTGAATTGCAATAAAATTGGGATTTTGACTTCAATGTAAAAAAAAAGTGACAACAACAAAAAATATCATAACCTTAATTGCTTTTCATATCACCCACTCCTAACAGAAATTATAGGTTTTTACAGTTTAACATATAGTTTTCCATGTTGATTATGAAAGAGTTAATAAAGAGCAAATAAGCATTAATATTAGTTGTCATTATTTGTTTCGTACATTAACTCTCTGATCCATCTCACATATTTTCCTTTCTTGTAAATATCTGTCTGTATAAATGAAGTTAGACATTATTAATATTGTTTAATATTCATCCTCAGATGCACATTTCTGTAACCTGAGTTGACTTTTCCCTCTGTTGTAAATGTGCCCTCGCTATAAAACCTTTTATTTGATGTCAGATCTTCTGTCTTTGTTCTCCTTTTACTTTGCTGCTGGTCTACTTCAATTTCCCCCTTATTGGATAAGAAAGTATATTTCCATTCTTTTGTATCACTGGTTTCTATTGACATGTTAATTATGTCACTATGTAGACTTCCTTCTTGTTTACAAAGAGCTATTTTATGTATTTAGTGTTTTAAATGTGAAAATATTTATGATTGATAAAGTTTGCATTTCTGCTCCATATTACTTATCATTAAGAAAATACTTTTTAAGGATGTTGTTTCAGTTAATAGATTTTGTTGCTGTGAAATATCCCCTTTTTTGGATTCATAGTTTTAATCGTCTGCCTGTGTTTGTCATCATTCACCTTCTCACAGCTCATCTTTGCTGCCTTCAATAGGACAACCAACCCCGGTGCCTTTCAGGCCACAGTAGCCTTTGGGCACCTTCTTCAGGTACTGCTGATGGTAATCCTCAGCATAGAAAAACTCCTGTCCCTCCAGGATCTCGGTGGTGATGGGACCGTAGCCTTTCTTGTCCAGCTCCTGAAGATAAAACAAACAAGCAAAAAAACATGAAACTGAATCCATGCTGCAGAAAAATGTATTTTTTACTGAAACAATTTAAATAGGTGATGGGAAACTCTTAACATGTAGCAGTTTATTCCCTGTGGTTTCCTTCCAAACATGCAGGATTTCTAAACTCTTCTCTGCCTTCATTTCCTTCCATTTGAGATATTTGTGTCATAATCCAATAAATAAGAAAATTGGTAAAAATGCTGAAAAGAAAGACTGAAAAAATGAAGTATCAATACTTAAAATCAATCATTTATCTAATTAATAAACACATAGTCAAATAATTTTTAAATTTATATAATTGTGTAAGAAAGTGTGTTTCTTTAAATTCTTTCTAATTTCTTCTTTATTCAAAGGCCAAAAGCATAATGATCCCATGAATGAACAATTTGCAAAATAAACTTTTACATGTGGACTAAAAAAACATTAGAAACATTGCATAAATTAAAAAACATAGATTAAAAAAATCCCATAGGTCTTTGTGTATTTATTATTTGTTAAATATATAATGACATAATCAAATGTCAAAGTCATTAAACACACTTTGTTTTCAGTTTTTATTTTATTCATAAATTATTTCATGGTTTAAAGGATCACTAAGGTTTTCACAGACTTTAAAATAATCAAATAAATAAGTACAGAAATAATTACAAAGCTCTTTATGGTTGTTGCTAATATATGAATTTAATCAATTATCCAAGCAATGATTAATCTATAATATCTTTAATGCTTGTATTGATAGTTGTATAGAAGTTACGCAAAAATACTGTATAAGTAACGTTATGTATTGAATTTTTGGCACTTTTGGCTCATGCTGGTAAATTTCCAACACTCCTGATGATACAGTAAAGAGTTTATGCTCCGCAGTCAGACTGCAGAGTGACTGAGTGACACTAGAAAGGAATATCGGCTTCTTCTTCTAGTGCAGCATGCCTTCTGTGGCTCTCTCTGTAGGACAAAGCATCAAAGGGTATCCGTTGGCTTTGAGAACTCCTGAAGACATTTTTCACACTTACCCTTTTCTAAACATGATGAGAGAAACCTTCAAACGCTCTAAAACCCGCTTTCTTCCACACACTGAGCCCTCTTACAGACATATCAAAGCTAGACCTGCTGCGCTGAGTGGTTTTCTCCATCTAATAATACAAGCGCTCAGTCCTCTATAGATCACTGCTGCTGGAGCTGACGAAACAAGTCCAAGGTGCGTTGAGACTGTTTGTGGGCAACAAGTAGCTCTCTACACCTCAGAACAGTTTGCAGCACTCTGGAGGTTTGTTTTGCTTTGCGGGGGAGTACACTGAGTTCAGCAGGCACCGTGAAAAAGAAGCTGAGCGTTTTCAATATGGGCTCAAGTTGCTCTCATCAGCCTACGTGCTTCATCTCTTCAGGACTTTTAGTAGAATTTAAATGTTTTGCTTCTGATCAGTTGAGATCTGAAACGTCGGTAATGTTGGTCGGCGAGCAAGATTAAACATATTTGATGTAAGGATGGATTCCCAAAGGGGTTCACTATAAGGCTGTTGAAGGTTTGCTTAAAGACACGTACAGAATTTGCCACAGAGATGTGGTTTCAAATAAAGAGCTTATATAAGAAGGGTGAAGTTCAGCAGTAAAACCGAAAACCATGTTTCTGCTCGTCTTCATATAGCAGCTGGGATTTATAACTGAAAAATAAGCCACACTCTGTTTAACCACAGTAATTACATTTTTTTTTTGTTATAGTTCAAATAATTTTACTAAATTCTAAGGGAACAACAAAATGTTGACTTAAGATGAAAATAAAACATTTTTTTTGCAATTACAACAGGCTCTCTAAATCATATATATTCTGTTGAAACATCCAACTTAATAATATTAATAATAATAATTGAACTATATTGATCTCACAATATAGATTCATTTAACCCTTTCCTTGGGGAGCAGTGGGCTGCCATTGTGCAGCACCAGGGGAGCAGTGTGGGGTTAGGGGTCTTGCTCAGAGACCCATAGTAGTGCAGGCTGTGGGGATCGAACCGGGGACTTGCACAGTTAAAGGCTTGTGATAATTTATCATGATGAATCATATATTTTCGGCTTTTAAAGAATCGTTTACGTTTTTCTCTATTAAAACGGGGTAATTTTACAATAATCTAAATTTAATTGAAAAGACGATGTAAGAAAATTTCATACCAAAGGCATTAAAATGTTTAGGCATAAATCTTACTGGATAATTGACTGATTGGTAAGCATTATTTGAACTGGTGGAGATCTAGCACAGCTTTTAGTCATACCCAAATTCAGAGGATTAGTCTTATACTTTTTTTTTCTTGCTCCTTAAACCAGTTTAGATGTTGTTGTTTTTTTGCCTATTGTTCAGCCTGATGTGACATAAATGTATAAATTTTAACCATCTCACCAAGCTATCTATATATATGAACAGTAGACTACTGGAACTGCAGTGTAATGGCCAACAGGTGGAGAGTTAAAAAGTTGGCCCAGCACATTATTCTAGGAGGATGATCAACCCTAAATGAGGTAGACTGATACTTTTGGCTGGACAATATTTTTGGTTGAGATAACACTTTTTATTTGGGGCATTAGCTGATGCATGCATTACCAGATTCATCAGTGCATTCAGCAGCCATGACTTGAGATCACATGAAATCACATTGTCCCTCCCTCCATTTGCTATCTATTGTTAATGCTTTGTTGAATTTGTTAATTGTGTTCCCTTTTTGTTTTTAATGAGAGTTGAAGAACGTTTATTATTATTGTGCTATTTAATCATGTACATGGAGGAAGAACAAGAGATATCGGCTTCAAAAATCCGTCCCCAAAAATCAACAGCATATCAGGGATCATTAAGGCTAATGTCAAAATAATCTGACTTAACCAGCCTTAAATAGACCTTATCTATGGAATAAAGCTTGGTCTAATTAGGCTTCTAGATATATCTGCTCTGAAACTCTACAGCACATATTTGAACACCGTCTCTGCCAAGAGGAGATTCCCTCCACTAATCCTTATTTCAAATAATCATATAGGAAATCAACTGTTTTAAATAAATAATCAAGTTTATGTTTATGCTGTGAGTAAAAGTATTTAAACTTAGAGTTTTATTCCAATAAATATACCAGGAGATGAAAAGAATGAGATTAGAACTATTCTACCCATTTTGTATCTAATAGTTTTGTAATTAGAGGCGATTTAAAAGGAAAGAAAAATGCTAAAAAGTGTTTGTGTTGTTTTGATGGTTGGGCAGTAAGGCTCAGATAAAAAGAGGTGCCATTTAAAGACTCACTGAAGTCTTACTGTCACAGTGCAATTCAGTAAACGGAATATTCATTTGAAAAGCATTAAGATCAGATTATGGAGGAAAAGGTCAGACAGCTTGTTGGAATCTGTGCCGTGGGCAATGTCGGACCTTTCGGCGAGATAACCATCAGAAACATGACGCCAAAGTGGACAAAAAAACAGATGAAAAGGAAACATTTATGAAGAGTTCTGAGAAATATGGAACTTAGAATCATCTTAAAATAGACATAAAAATAACACATTTGAATCCTGAAACTAAAATATCTCCATAAATTTGTTATTACAGTCCAACTTAGATCCGTTACACAAAAAGTTATATAATTTAGGCATTATTTTCCCTATTTTGGGGGGATTATAGGTAATAGCTATTGAAAAATCAAAATTCTGTTTTTCTAGAAATTCAATATGACATGAAAGCATAAAAGAAGATTTGAAACCTGAATTGTATGTCAATGCACAGCATTATATCTGCCTTTAATAGTTACTCAGGCTTCTTTTGCATGACTTACGCAGCATAGAGGTAATCAGGTTTCTTAAATAATGGCCTTCAGCTCATCTGCATTGTTGGCTGTGGTGAGGAGCTTCAGGTGGGACCTTTTTACTGGCCACTGTAGCACAGAGACGCCATGGCTATTAAGTGTTGTCAGCTAAAAAGCCATGTTGGAAAAGGATCTTTTTTAAGGTCCACATTTGTGTGTCACGATAATTTCCCCATTGTGGGCCAATAAAGAGATGGGCTATTCTA